TTTTTTTTTGTTTTGCTTTTTTATGGTCTTAAAACTGAAGTGCCTCCAAAAATAATTATTACATATTTTCGTAATATACTTACAACTAATTGCAAGAACGTTGTCATATAAAAATAAAAAAATGAAATTAATTAGTTTTTAAGTAAAACTGGTGTGATTATTTCACTATTTTGAAGATATAGACATTGTCATGTTAGTACATACTAAAACAGTTATTCTATCGATATAGGGGGCTTAATAGAACCCCCCCCCCCCCAAAAAAAATCCTATTTATTACTTTTATTAATTTTTATATGACAACGTTCTTGCGATTAGGCGTATATTTCTATAATAAACTTCTTTACTCACTTATCCCAATTTGCATAGTTTTCTTGTAATCCCACTCCCTGGTGATGTAATCCTCTCCTCAAATTAGAGGTCATCAGGCCTCTTTCGATGAGTTGACTGGTATCAGGATCGATCAGATTACCATTTTCGTCAACGTGGAATCCAAGAAAAGTCATCGTAATCCCGTCTTTGTTGAAGAAGATGTAGGGATGCGCGCTGTCAAAATGTTAATTTTTTAATCAATCACACATACAACTTGAGTTGGCATGTGTAGCATGCGCTGCTACGGTGCTGGGGGGGGGGGGGGGGGGGGGGGGGGGGGGGGGGGGGGGGGACTCTCTTGAAAAGTGGGTAGGGGGGCTCGAAGGACGGTTTTGAAATTGACTCTAAAAGGTATGCATAAATTAACTGAGATGCTGATTTCAGACCCTAAAAGGTACGACCACATTTAAAATGACAATGTTTCCAACCATTATATTCTTGTAAGACGTTTGATATTTTTCAAAACGAACAAATCTGACCCTAAAAGGTACGGAGTCAGCCGGGAGTCAGCCGGAGACCCTAAGAGGTACGCGAGGTCTCATTTTCGACCGTAAAAGGTCCGTCGAGCCCCCTTACCAACTTTTTAATAGAGTCCCCCCCCCCCTCCCCCGGGAGTTCATGCCTGGGGTAGCGGGTCCGACGTCCGAGCCTGAGCCACATATTTGCGTCGAGTTTGTTTCCTATTAGTTGTACTCTCCTTGCCACGAGGGTTTTCCTAATGGGTACTCCGGTTTTCCTCCCTCCATAAAAAATCTAAATGTGAGTAGAGTAGTGTTGCATATCGTAAATAGTGAATGTAGAGGTAGTGTCTGTGGAGCAAACCTCACGTAAGAACCCCTTACGGAAAATGGTTGTAAAGTATACTTTAAACGTTAACTCTTGTATCTTTTATATGAATTTCGTGCAATTTAATACAAACGCCGGGCGTTAATGTATGTCCCCATTAAGCCAGATGTTAATGGTATAGCAACTGACTAGGGATATATATAAGAGTTATTTCATACCTGCTCTCCCATCGTCTTCTCAGCTTCAGAGGTCTAATATCTTCATCGTTGTCGTGTTCAGACGATTCAGGAGTAAACGTGACATTGTTTTCTAGAGATGGGGTGGCAAAGTCCTACGTGGAAAAGCCAGGAAAGTAAGTTTGACGTATTCCTTCAGAGAGAATACCATTTCATAAATCTGATTTCACTTTTTGCACTAGAGGCACTATCTATTTTTGCAGGAACTCTCTGAAAAACACTCTGGCGATGAGAGCTTTCTGGTAAATTATTGTTGTTATTATAATCTTTCTTTATGATTCCTTTAAAAAAACTACAACTTATGCAGATATGTAGATATAATAACAATAATAAATTTAAAGCAGTTTTTCTTATTTCTTTTTTAATTAATCTTATCATTTCTTTTAAATCCTCCGATCTCCCACCCTCCGTCTCTTAAAATTGAGAAATTATATAGAAGGGTTAGTGTTTGTGTGATAGGAGCACAGGGAACCCGGCTATATTTTTTTGCTTCTTTTAGAAAAGTAACTTTGCTCTTTGTGGGTTTCCTGTGTTGGGATCGGTTTCCTATTACATAAGCTGTAATCAGATCTGCGCGCTGTGATCACAGTTGGTGTTTTGTTTCTTACGATGGGTTGCCTGTAGAGAGCGCGTTACCAACGGTTATTGATTTGAATTTAATCGGCTATCAGTTTACAGCGCCAATCTGATCACAGCGCAGATCTGATTACAGCTTATGTAAAAGGAAACCGATCACAACACAGGAAACCCACAAAGAGCAAATTACTTTTCTAAAAGAAGCAAAAAAATATAGCCGGGTTCCCTGTGATAGGAGCACTAGTTTTGTTAACTCAACTTACTCTCGACATGGTGACCATGAAATGAACAACGAACGACTTGAATCCAGGAAGCGTCCCCTCCATCCATGTATCATCCATGTGTTCTGCGTTACAGAATGTACTTTCCTCGCAATCTTGCAACTGAGAGTTAAGAAAGTCTATGAAATGCTTGAGCTCGGACCACGACGGGTCCTTTATTCCGCAATATCTGTGGAAAAAGAAAATGGCACGAAGTTATTTAATAGCGGCTTTATATCTCTGGAGCTTTGCCTTTTTTGAGACCATGAATAGCTATAAACCAACTAGACTAACATGAAAACTCTGGTTCTATTAAAGAAAATTAAAACATTTTTGTATTACTGAGCTTGTTAAAGACATGTACCACATGTACATGCACCAAGCAAAATAAAACTGTGGATCTGTTTACTAAAGAAACGCTTGGAAAATACAATATATTTCTTATTATTGCCTTCTTTTCCAAAAAAATCTGCATGTTGTGACTCWAAGTACATACTTGATAATCAACTGAAGACATTCGTCAGGGGAACCCATCGCTTCGTCGACAGTAAAGTGATAGCGGTCTAAATTCTGATGTGTATCGTATTTCTGTAAGTACTGAAAAACACGATTTATAGGAACACTTCGGTACTCCTGCTCGTCAAATAATGGAACTGCCAGTGAATCTAGAGGGAGAAAAAAAGATTCGTGAGTTGTAACTCAGTCTTTTATCATCATAGTCTTCATGATTTTTTCGAGTGGCGCGCGACCAAGCTTGGGGAGCGGAAGCTCGGAAGGAAATTGTTGTCTCATCAACCGCATGAAACTCTTCAAATTGCCCTTCAATGCCGCTCTAGCAGCTGCTGATAGTTTACCCAATTCTTTGCATTTAACAGACATTATTTCTGGCCTTGTATGGAAGATTACTAATTGTATAGCAAGCAAGATTTCTTTAATTCTGCTCTCTCCCGATTGATTCAAATTTTCAAACTACATCGTGACTGGCTGATTCTGTTCTCTCCTAATTGGCCCATGTTTTAAGCTACATCATGATTGGTAAACAGTGTGATTGTGGACCCCTACAGTTGTATTGTTCACACAGTAAAGACAGAGATATAACAACTTCTAAAATACATGTTCAGTTTGTTGAGAAGTGATTATTCTATGGTGTGGCCAATTTGATACTTGGCCCTGTTAGACAAAAAGCTCAAGATCTAGTGCGCGTAACCTAAGAGAAAACTCCTTATAAATTGAAAACGGACAACAAACCCTTGTTCATCTTGAGTTGATCCAGTGTTTCTTTGGGAGTAACACACGTTATTGTTGGGAGTAACGAGATGAAAGAGGCACTCATATGAGCCTTCAAAGGTGGCGTATTGGATGGCTGTTATCGATAAAAAAGAAAAAAAGAAAATACATATTTCTAATGTAGTGGAACTGCGCATTCTCAGAAAATCAGTGGTCCAAAAACGGTGGGTGCGTATCGAAAACAAAGAAATTATAAAGGAAATCTGTAATATTTGGATGAAAACCCCCTTAATTAACTTTATATTACTCCGCTCACTTTTTTAAGGAGAAAATAATTAGCCATTCCGGGGTCGAGGGAAAACTTGATCGAGTTGGCATTGCAGTGCAGTGTGGGGCTGTCTTAGGAGACGAAATAGACGACATTTTGGAAATATGTCCCAGTTTTTCCTCAACCTCGGAATGGCTAATAGCACCGTTGGTTGGGGGTTTCGCATCCCCCCCCCCCCCCCCCCCCCACACACACACACACAAATGAGTTGTAGCGTGATGAATTCAAGAGAAGGTTCATTGCAGCCATGTTTAAAGGCAGGAACAATGCAATGTTTTTGTATAAAAAGATATTTTTATTTCTCCAACGAGAAAATTTCTGTTTTGTCCTCCAACATGGCTGCCTTGAAACCCCTCCATAATAAACGTGCAAAAAAAATCAGCAGAAACTAATTTTCATTATGAATAATTTCATGAACCTTTTTGATTAGTTTGGTCATCTCTACCACATAGAGGTCTGTGGCTCTTCTTCTCCATAAGCGACCATTACTGTCCGACAGCACTCCAAGTACAAGTAGGTTAAACAGTACGTAATCTAAACCTTCAGTTACCTGAAAGAAAAGACATGCACCCTTTATCTACAAGTGAAAGAAAACGACCAATTGCAGGTCATGCTACCTGAGGTAAACATTTCCACCCGACTCAAATTCGAACCACCAAAACGATTTCCACGAACATTATTTTTTCAGACTTAGGCAATCTAACTGTTCTCAATTTTCTATGCTGATTTATATAAACCGATCTACAATCCTAGACAAAAGTCATTGGAACACTTGAAAAGTCAGCGCTAAATTTTTAAATATTGTCTTAATATCCATAATTTCTCAATGTTTACACGCCATTCCACCAATGAAGCTCCCCACTCCCCCAACTCAATGTTGTCAATGTTGGTCAAACCACACATCATCCCAAACGCCCCGTTTGCCTCAACATTGATTTGGAGAGGGGTTGGGGGGGGGGGGGGGGGGGGGGGGGGCGGGGAGAAAAGTACGGTTTTATGTAATTTTATGTTGCTGTCCCAATACTTTTGTCCAGGATTGTAGTTTGGGCGTTATGTTTTCCCATTTTAGATCACATAACAACAAGGCTCTAGCGTTAGCAGCAAACAAAGAAATAATGCTCAGGGGAATGAAATGAGGCCCGACACACGAAAACATTATCATTGGACCTCAGTCTCTTTTAATCCATACAAAAACACCAATAATTCACGAATACTAACCGATGGAGAAACATCTAGATGTATTAACCTCGAGACGGGAAGATTTGCCCTCACTGGATTCTGCCACAGCGCATCCAGAACTGCGCAGGTGTTTACCACAGTACGATGTAGAGGTACTGTGATGGCAAGCTTGATTTGTTCATGTTCTTTCGACTCCATCACCTTGTGGTTGTTTTGTAGCTCCAACAGTTTTTCAGCCAGCCTCGACACCACTAAAGACTTGCCAACGCCCGCACGGTTGGATGAAACCACTCTAATCCCAAGCCTTCAGGAAAAAGAAAATCCACACCTCCGTCATTATATATCCTAGTATTATAAATCCAAACTATATGACTTGCTTGATTTTATACGTCATAGATTTAGATTCTTTTAACGACTAGTGGTTACTAATTGGGACTGCGTGGGTCCGGTATGTCGAATGCAACAAGTGAATAAGAAGGAAACTTAAACTTTTTTTATTACTTGCACTATATAACTTAAGTTTTCTTCTAATTTTCTGTTTTACTCCGATGAAGGATCCAAAACGTCAGTATGATTCCAAACATTTTTTTTTTACACAGCCTGCAGGTTTCCTTCTTGATATTCACTTTAGTTTCTTACTATTTGATTTTTTATCCTTTGGAATGCAAGGCCTCTGATTTAATTAGACAAAGAGTAATTTGTAAAATAATGCAAATGTTAACGGTTAAATAAAAGAACAAAACTAACTTGTCTGGATCAAGACTGCATGCATGTATCCAAGGAATCTCTTCTTCATCGATGTATCCTGTTAGTGGTTCTGTGCGAGTGAATTGTCTTCTTAAGTAGTCAGACAGATGTTCAGCAGGGGCGCAGATTGGAGCGTTTATCCTGTAGGTATCGAAGGCAGCAATGATATGGGAACGATCCTCATTCTGTGTGCTACACAATACCAGAATTCTATAACCTATACACAGACAAATTTTAAAGAAAATAATTTACTTTTACGAAGAATTTAGAAATTAACAGGTCCATTTCAAGCATCTTGACGGGAACAAGATTTTTGCAGTTACATCCTTCTCAAGCCTTAGAGCTTTAAAACCGTGTCAGGATTCCTCAGTATTGTTTAACCAGTGGACTCCCTCACCATCATTGGCCGATGTCGTCACTCCGTACCGTGATCGTGTTGTACTGCCCCCCCCCCCCCTTCTCCCAATTAATGGACTACTTCGACGATGCGGCGTCCATCTTGATCAGAAGACAGGATAACAAGGTATTTTTACTTACCAACGGTTGTCCCTGCAAACTCCCGTTTGAGAGTACTAAACGCGTTTAGAGCGGCCTGACTGACGTTATAGTCAAGGAGATCAGGACTTACTAAGCAGTAAATCTGCTCGCTTGAGTCTCCAAAGGCACGCCACCAGAATAATTCTACCTTCATGTTAAAAAATCCACAAGAATTGTAAAAAAATTAGTTTGTCTGAAAATCACTTTTCTAAGTGCCACTAATCATTTTGTCAACTTACTTCTTCTTCTGTAGTATTTGGGGAACAGACTAAAACTTCACTTGGGGTAGGAACAGTGTTCTCTCCATATTTCATGTACAATGATAAAACAGTGGGGAAAATCTCGCCTGTAAAAATTAACAATATGAATTCGCCAATTACACAAACCACAAGCAACAATTAACATAGAACGATTAAATTCACTAAAGCCATCAATACTCCATTTTACAGTTCCGTTTAGTGACCACGAATAATAGTTCCAAGCCGAAATTGGGGTTTCCGCGCCGGCATAGCAAAACTATACTCTTTCTAATGCGGCAACTCCAACCTCTGCTTGGAACTTTTATTTGTGGTCACTGAATGGAACTATAAAATGGAGTATTACTCATGCCCCGTTCCGCACACTGTGTTTTCGTTCCAAAAACCATACTTTTCGAGGCGTTTTGGCCTTGCGTCTACATGAAATCGCATCTATTTGAAAACTCTCCATAGTGAAGACATTTGAAAACGGAGGCATAACATATTAGTGTGAAAAAGCAAAAACGGAGGCTCATGAAAACGCCGACGTTAATCACACTGACACGTCTGTTTTCGCGTGGACGCTATGAAAACGTTAATGTTGAAGCGAAGCTTTCGATGCGTTTTCGGTGAGAAGACAGCAGAGCGTTTCGAAAACGTATAGCGCATTAGTGTGGACAGGGCCTTATGTTACAGAATATCGAGCACCTTGATCAACTAGAACCAAATTAGGTTGATCAACTTTAAGATATTCGGGAAATCGTCTCGGCTTGGGTTTTGTACCTATGCCAGAAAAGAAGGCAATAAATTAATGATCTTTTCTAAAATTATTAATAGACATGCATATAATGGACGGCGCAGAGAAGAAAAGCATACCAAAAACGATTATCAAAGTGAAAGACCTAGGAAAGGTATATTTAGGGTCTTTCGACTGAAAATCGTAAGTAGTAAGAAGTATACTGTTTACTAGCGGGAAGGAGAACCTTTTAAGGTGAATCTGAGAATGTCGTGATCAGGCACCCCCACTTCTCATACTGCTCCCATGCACCGTCTATATTTAAGGAATATAAAACGCGCATGTCTCTGTACTGTGATATAAATACGCTGGGAGCTGCATGTAGAGCATGAGAGAAGCAAGCTTAGGAACATGAGGAGTAGCTGAGTGTTTTTCTTGCTTTTCAAGTGCTTTACAGCTCCCAGAGTGTTTATATCACAGTACTGAGACTTAGTAACAAGTGACAAAACATTCTATAATAAAATGAAAAATAAAAATACGCGTTGTACATGTTGTAGCGAGCTTGACGAGTATAGACCCCAATTTGTCCAAAGTCAGATACATCCGGTCAGTGTCTTCTTCCATTTCCTCATAGCTGTCACTAGGATAAAAATGATTACTTATTAAACCAATAGTAGTGCAAAAAATACATTAGAACTAGACATCAAGAATAGAATGACCGAAAGGAAGGAAGGAAGGAAGGAAGGGAAGGGAAGGAGGGAAGGAAGGAAGGAAGGGAAGGAAGGGAAGGAAGGGAAGGAAGGGAAGGAAGGGAAGGAAGGGAAGGAAGGGAAGGGAAGGAGGGAAGGATGGAAGGAAGGATGGAAGGAAGGGAGGGAGGGAAGGAAGGAAGGAAGGAAGGAACTTTATTAGCATTGCGACTCAAATTATGTAATAAAACATGAACAGTGAATGACAGAAACCCCTAACCTTTGATCCAGTTCAACATCACTTTCTTCCTCTTCGGTTCCAGCTGCGTCAATCTTTATCCCAAGAATCTCTTTCAATGTTAAAATTAGCTCTTCACTTGTTATGTCAACATTCACACTCTCGAGTAAGGTGTATACTTGCAAAGGTACATCCAGACTAGAGCCACGACGCAACAGACCGAGTTCTCTTCTCAACACAAGAATTTGTTTGGCTGTAAAGTGATTCAATTCCTTATACTGTCTTCGTTTCTCGTGGACATCATTTTGCCACTCCCTAAGCCTTTTTTCCATGACTAAAATACTCTGCAATATTTCCTCATGAACAGAYCCATGTGACGACCGGTTGTCTGAACACACGACCTCTTTGCTCCATGTTAGATACTGATCATCACCAGCTTCGCAAAGGTCGATGTAAAGTTGACCAATTCTGATTATTCCTTCCAGTATCTTAAAAAGAGTAAACAAAATAGCAAGATTTAGATTATAATAATCGAAAACAATTGGCCTTTCCCAGGTTGTGCGGATATCTACTGGTAAAGAGTAGAATGCACGCTGAATCATGGGGTTACTATAGGAGCCACCATTTGTCTAAATATGGCAGAAAGCTAAGCCAACTCTTTTAAAAAATACAACGTGAACCAAGGTAAATGTGACTCGATTCAAAAACTAAAACCGTAAAACGAAAAAGGTAAATGGCGTCCCATGGCGTCTCTAAAGAGCCCCAGGATTCAGCGCGCGTCTTGCTCGTTATCAGTTTTCCGCGTACTCTCGCGGAAATGGTAGAGCAACTTTGTCGAAGTTCTAAAAACATTGATTTCAGTGACAAGTTTGCTAGGTGTATATGTAACACTTTTATATCTACTGTACCTCAACAAACTTGTTGATCTCCTCAGTGCTTTCAATACATTCTTTATTTTGCAGCTTGGCAGTTTTACCGGCAATCAGCATAAGCTTACTTTGCAAATCCTTCAAGTCATTCAAAGAATACTTTTTCAGCTCTTCATTTTTTGTCAAGTCGCGCATTTCTTTTTCATCATTATGTGGGCGATGGGCTACCGGTGCTTGGTCGATTGGCACTGTCAGCGTCATAACGTGCTCTAATGACATCTTCTCGCTGGACATAAAGATGCTTCTGGTAGTATCTTCTGGCGTTATATGGCCTACACGATACACACCCGAGGAGTTGATGGCTTTGGTTTGCATCAAAGATGACATCTCCACAGAGCCATGAGATTGTTCGACCGCCTTCAGCCATTCTAAGTGGCGATGGGTGTCGTACTGTTGAGAAAAGAATGCGCGATTCACAACCCAACAAACAAAAAACAAACAAACAAAAAACGAACGAAC